GGCTACAATTACACTGGATTCCGTGTCAGCCCGCTTGATCTCCTGCTGGAATCGCTGCCATTCCTCGTCCTGAAGTCGAGCGGCTTCGGATTTATTGGTCTTATCCTCGTCGAAGAACTTTTCTGGCAGTTTTTCCGCAGTAGTTTCATTCACAGGCTTGCTGCTCGCATTTGGCTGGGAAGTTTTCTCTTGAATGATGGGGGGATGCTTCTCCTGGATGCTCTGTGGAGTTTTATCTGGCAGTGTGCTGGAGCTTGTGGCAGGAGTTGGAGTCTTCGTGGTCGGAGCCCTTGGGTCCTTGGCTGCAGTGGTGGTGACGGGTTTCTCCACCTTATTCTGCTTGGCTTGATCCACATTCAGTTTGTGCTGCTTGGAGTTGATGTGAACCTTCCAGACGTTGGGTTTGATGGGAATCCTGCAAATAATGCAGGTCAAGGTGCCTGAGGAGTCATACGTATAGTTTAGTTCAGTTAAGGAAACCAATTGCATCTAGGCAATCGAAAATATTTATATTTAAGAACTATATAAACAACTTCTCGCTTGTTTTTGTAAACACCGGCTTAAAATGTGAAATACAATTCACAATTCTCTTTTTTTTTGGTTTTGTAAAGGATATTTTGCCAATGGTGAATCCACAGTGACTGCTGGCTTTTTGGAAACACTTAGTTTCTTTTGAAGGCGTTTAATATTCCCATTATTCATGTTGATTTTTTAATATTTTTATGTTTTTATGCGGCGTCTGTCAATCATGGGAATTTAACTAGAGATGAGCGCACCAGCGATTATTTTAAAATTGGCACAGAGCAATTTGCGAGATTTTATTATTTTGAAATGCTATGTAGATAAAAGGAACAGGAAGTTATTCCAAAAAATTTGTTTAAATGTTATTTTATTTATTTTTGAATACGACAACTGAAAATAAATACAAATTTAAGAACACACAAAGTTACGTGGCCCTAGTCTCGTTATCGATTGCGCTATCGATAGCAAAGCCAAAAACAAGTTGGCAGTCTACCCGGCAATTTTTTTAGACTACGTGTCTAAGCGAAGAATGTGTCGTTGCATTTCAGATCGGTTATAATTTTCGAGTTACTGGCTGGAATAGGGACATGAATCGGACGCCAAAGATGCTGAACAGCAAGGTGGCTGGCTACAGCAGCCTGATCACCTTCGCCATCCTGCTAATCGCCTGGCTGGCCGGATTTTCCTCACGCCTCTTCGCCGTCATTCGCTTCGAGTCGATTATCCATGAGTTTGATCCGTGGTTTAACTACCGGGCCACCGCCTACATGGTGCAGAATGGTTGGTACAACTTCCTCAACTGGTTCGACGAGCGGGCTTGGTATCCGCTCGGCAGGATTGTGGGCGGCACCGTGTACCCCGGCCTGATGATTACCTCCGGCGGAATCCACTGGCTGCTGCACGTTCTCAACATACCGGTCCACATTCGCGACATCTGCGTGTTCCTGGCACCGATCTTCAGTGGCCTGACCTCCATCTCCACCTACCTGCTGACCAAGGAGCTGTGGTCCGCGGGCGCCGGCCTCTTCGCCGCCAGTTTCATCGCCATCGTGCCTGGCTACATCAGTAGGTCCGTGGCAGGGTCGTACGATAACGAGGGCATTGCCATATTCGCCCTGCAGTTCACCTACTTCCTGTGGGTGCGCTCCGTTAAGACCGGATCCGTGTTCTGGTCCGCCGCCGCCGCTTTATCCTACTTCTACATGGTGTCCGCCTGGGGAGGCTACGTGTTCATCATCAACCTGATCCCCCTGCACGTCTTCGTGCTGCTCATTATGGGCAGGTACTCGCCGCGACTGCTGACCAGCTACAGCACCTTCTACATCCTGGGACTGCTGTTCTCTATGCAGATCCCCTTCGTGGGATTCCAGCCGATACGCACCAGTGAACACATGGCTGCTCTGGGAGTGTTTGTGCTCCTAATGGCCGTGGCCACCCTGCGCCATTTGCAGTCCGTGCTGTCGCGCAACGAGTTCCGGAAGCTGTTCATCGTCGGCGGATTGCTGGTGGGCGTTGGCGTCTTTGTGGCCGTCGTGGTGCTCACCATGCTCGGCGTTGTAGCTCCGTGGAGTGGACGTTTCTACTCGCTGTGGGATACTGGTTACGCCAAGATCCACATTCCCATCATTGCATCCGTGTCGGAGCATCAGCCCACCACTTGGTTCTCGTTCTTCTTCGATCTGCACATCCTGGTGTGCGCCTTCCCAGTGGGAGTGTGGTATTGCATCAAGCAGATCAACGACGAGCGCGTGTTTGTGGTGCTGTATGCCATCAGTGCGGTTTACTTCGCTGGAGTGATGGTGCGTTTGATGCTGACTCTCACGCCGGTGGTTTGCATGCTGGCTGGAGTGGCCTTTTCGGGACTGTTGGATGTGTTCCTGCAAGAGGATTCGTCGAAGCGAATGGGCACAGCCGTAAGCTCAGCCACCGAAGTGGACGAAGCTGAGGATTCCATTGAGAAAAAGACTTTGTACGACAAGGTAAGTAATTATTGCTACACATGCCAAAGCTTTTGTTTTAAAAACATCGTATTTGCAGGCTGGTAAGCTGAAGCACCGCACTAAGCATGATGCCCAGCAGGATACTGGCATCAGCTCTAACCTGAAGAGTATTGTCATTTTGGCCGTTCTAATGCTGTTGATGATGTTCGCTGTCCACTGCACATGGGTGACCAGCAATGCCTACTCCAGTCCCTCCATTGTTCTGGCTTTCCACAACAGTCAAGATGGGTAAGCACATAAAAGCCCTCTATCGTTAAACCTTTCTAACCCTTTCTCCGCTAGATCTCGCAACATTCTGGACGATTTCAGGGAGGCTTACTACTGGCTGTCGCAGAACACTGCTGATGATGCCCGCGTTATGTCTTGGTGGGATTACGGATACCAGATAGCGGGAATGGCAAACAGAACAACGCTGGTGGATAATAATACGTGGAACAATAGTCACATAGCTCTGGTTGGCAAAGCGATGTCTTCAACCGAGGAGAAATCCTACGAAATTATGACATCTCTTGACGTGGACTACGTTTTGGTAATCTTTGGTGGTGTGATCGGCTACTCTGGTGATGACATCAACAAGTTCCTGTGGATGGTCCGCATTGCCGAGGGAGAGCATCCCAAGGACATTAAGGAAAGCGATTACTTTACCGACCGCGGTGAATTCAGGGTAGATGCCGAAGGTGCTCCGGCCCTACTCAACTGCCTTATGTACAAATTAAGCTACTACAGATTCGGGGAATTGAAGTTGGACTACAGGTAAGCGGAAAAATGTTTTTCAGGTAGCGATGCACACTAATTGACTGTTTCAGAGGACCATCTGGCTATGATCGCACACGTAACGCCGTCATTGGAAATAAGGACTTCGATCTGACCTACCTGGAAGAGGCCTACACCACAGAACACTGGCTTGTTCGCATATATAGGGTAAAGAAGCCGCACGAGTTCAACCGGCCATCTCTGAAAACCAAGGAGAGAACCATTCCTCCAGCAAACTTCATCTCGAGAAAGGTAGTGTACTTTGCAGCTCCAAATGAACTTCATTAACAATCTGATGCTTTGCAGAACTCGAAGCGTCGCAAGGGCTACATACGAAACCGACCGGTTGTTGTTAAAGGAAAACGAACCTTGAAATAAACCCAAAAAATAATTGTATTGATCTTTCACCAATATATATAACTTGGTTAAAACACTTTACACATAGCACATGGTTTGGTGAAAGTGTGTCCACCGCATCCTCATGTTGAGGGCTTTAAATGCCGCCTCAAAATCAACTTTCGCATACTTCCCGACTCGTGTGACACAATTTTATCGAGTTGCTGCTTTTATGAAATTTTCGGTTCCTTCGATTTAAAACTGTTCGCGGCTCCACCATTCATTGTCTTAAGCTAGCAATTCAATAAAGCAGAGTGTACATTTTTAAACCTTAATATCATAGTTATTCATTTTTATTTAAAGTGAAATAGGGCAGCTAGTTATCATTACGGCGACGTCGCTGAATTTTTCTTTCCAGGTCCCTGGACTTTTGCTTCTTGGGAGGAACGAAGACATCGGGCTCATCAAGTTCATTTTGGTTAGAAGACTTGGGCAGCACCATGTTGGTATCGAAGTTGAACTCGTCGTTGGAATTGGCCAGATGTCTGCGAAATACGGCCGCGCTGTTCGTGACCCGTGCTTTGGGATGGGAAGGAGGTAGCCACGAGACAGTTTGTGTGGTCGAGTTATAGAAGTAGTACGCCTTGCAGCCCCTATCATAGATATCCTTCCAGCCCGCCTCCAGTGGATACTTTCGCAGCAATCTCTTGTAGCGCTTGAGATACCTATGGCCGGGTTGCGAGTGCGGGGCGCTGTTGAACTTATTCACGCAGTACAGCGAGCATTTGTGGTATATGTTGTACTTGTTGGGACACAGCTTGTATCCATGGTAAGACTCGTTCACGCCGATCCGCTCCTTGATGCGGTGCGACCAGAACTGCTCCTCCACGCTCCTGCGCTTGGGCTCCGGGGATATGTCCTCCTTGTACGGATACGGGTCGCTCTTGTCATCGTCATCGTAGTTTTCGGCTATAATCTCCTCTATAGCTTCTGAAATCGGTGTGGTTCCTGTGGATAGATAAAGTTGGTCATCTTCTTGGGATTATATACCTATACTGATCTTATTACACACCAGATTGTTTGGTCACAAGACCGCGCTTCTTTAGGCGCTGCAAAAGTGCAGCTGGTAGGCTCATTTTTCTATTATTATGCTACTTTAAAAGTTTAAATAAATATGGTCCAGAAAAATAATGTCAATATAAAACAATGATGTGACCATGCGAGTACAATTACCAAATACCACATTTTCAAGAAACTTGTTTCTTTAAAATTTATTTAATTGAAAATTACTAGCATTGCATTAAATTTAAGTTATAGGTAGTTAAATATAAAAAATAATATAATATTTGAATAAACCCATTTGTTTACAATTTTTAATAACATTCCATGGAATGGTATTTTGTGCCCTTGGCCCGTACGGTCATATTATTTTCAGCTGCTCGAATAATATTTCAGGTCATATAAATTGGACTGAATATTAGTAAATAAAACAACAATATGGCCGATAACGCAGAACCACTGACTTTGTCCAAAGGTAAGGATGCATGGTAACAATGCCCAGTTGAAGGAATCTCATCCCAATGTCCCACTTTCAGATGTCAAAAGATCGATAGAGCTCCTGGAAAAGCTGCAAGCGAGTGGAGACTTCCCCACGACAAAACTGGCCGCCCTGCAGAAGGTGCTCAACTCCGACTTCATGACCTCCGTCCGGGAGGTGTACGAGCACGTCTACGAGACGGTGGACATCCAGGGATCCCACGACGTGAGGGCTTCCGCCACAGCCAAGGCCACTGTGGCAGCTTTCGCAGCCAGCGAAGGGCACGCTCATCCCAGAGTCGTTGAGCTGCCCAAAACGGAGGAGGGTAAGCCACGCCCTTGTACATCTTATGTGGAATACTTTCCTTATGTATTTAACCCACTGATCCATTGATTATTGGTTTTCAGGCTTGGGTTTCAATGTAATGGGAGGCAAGGAGCAAAATTCGCCCATCTATATATCCCGAATAATACCTGGAGGTGTGGCTGACAGGCATGGAGGACTGAAAAGGGGCGATCAACTTCTATCTGTGAATGGTGTGGTAAGTTAATTAATTTGTCTTAACTCCGGTGTTGAGAACTCACAAAATTTCAACATTTCAGTCTGTTGAAGGAGAAAACCACGAGAAGGCCGTGGAGCTATTAAAGCAAGCTGTCGGATCCGTGAAGTTGGTGGTACGCTACACACCGAAGGTCCTGGAGGAAATGGAAATGCGATTTGATAAGCAACGCAACACACGTCGTCGCCAATAAGGCACATCGGCAAAAACTTGTGCCATAGTAGTTTTTGCCATTAGACCATGCTGTTATGCACGTATGCGTAAATCAAGCCCTTACGAATAACATAATTTAACACAAATACCATTTAAATATTATTTATTACAAAGAAACTCTGAAAAATTACTCTTTAATCGTAAAAAGTGAGTGTTATGTATTTGTAACTAATTACCATGTTGGTTTTTGTTCCAATAAATGTAATTTAAATTGTCAGACAATGGGAACCTTTTCTTTATACATCTCGTTCCAACAAAGTGCACCAGTTCAAACAGATTTTGTAATTTTTAGTACGACGGCCGTAGAAAATATAAAAATACATTTTATTGCTTTTCTTTACAACGTATTACTTTTTACAACTCAGGAGAAGGATCGGCTCTTCAACTTTTTAAGGAAATCCTTGGCCTGCTTATCACCAAGTCTGTATTCCAAGGCACGCAGTGAATCGGAATCTGAAAGCAAACAACTTGTATTAATTTCCAGTTAAATGGATTAGCTATATGAGGTACCTGTATATTCTGGTCTGGATAGATTCATCATGATTTGCTCGCCCTGTGGTGTCGATGCCAGATCTTCGAAAGATATATAGCTCTCTGCTATATACTGGCTCGACATTCCGAACAAATCTTTATCTTTGATACTGAATACAATAAGACTATTTTTTTCATTCCGCTGGTGCTCGCTCAGGTTTCTGTCGAAGGAATTTATAAGGATACACTAATAAGGATACAATAATGATAAAAATTAATAGTGATAACTTACATACGAAACTCCTGATCGTAGAGCGGAAAACAACTTTTATTGTGCACACTGGTCTTCACCGTTGGTACATCGTTGAATCGACTTGTGGGCATGAAACTGGCTTTAACAAATGAGTCCACCGAACCATTTGAATCCATTGGCAGCAGATTGCGAGCATTTAAGATATTTAACTAAAAAGTACAACTCAGTAAGTGGATTTAAAGTTTTAGATGATTGTAGGCCTACCAATAAACCGGCATCAGTTAACTCAGCCGTTACAGTCAGTTGTCCATATGGAGATGACTCTTGGCTCTTTTGATTCTCTAGACGCTCCAAGTAATACTGATGAATAAGATCTGCTGTCTCCAGCGAATAAAGCCTCAGCCGACTTTGAATTGAAGACAATATTTTTACGTCCGAGGTTTGAAGGTTGCCCATTTTAAAACAGTCCATCATTGTCTGAAGAGTATTGTTTAAATTTTGGAAGAAAGCTGGTGGTCGACGTTTCTGAAAGGATGATTCAGTTTTTTATACTGTCTAATACTTGCGGACACTGAACTTACGTCTAGATTTGATTGAATTAGGTCATACATTATTATGGATAACTCAGACCAAATGCCATCCAGTATCCTTTGGAAGTTAATCTCATTGAGAGTATCGTAAAGCGTGGCCAACGAGGATTCCAGGTACATCATTAACTGGTCCATAGAGTTTGAGTCCTTGGCGAGAACCTCAGCACCTTCGGCCAAATATCGTCTAATTGGCGGTGCCATTTTTCGGGCTACAACCTCTATGAGCTCAACAATCTGATTGCGTTCGGTGTCCAATGCATTTTCAATTACAGTTTTGATGGTGCTTGCGCATCTTTCAGCCTCTAAGTTAGTTCGATACTCCCCCAATCTCTTGATGATATCATCAATGTTAAGTTCCTGAAATATAATATATGCTCTTAGTATTACAGCTTTATTTCTGCGAATATAACTATTACCTTTATGAATGAAGGTAAGGTCTGTCGGATGTAATCCATGTTGTTTATAGCTATGCACCACTCCTCCGACAGAGCTATACAAAAAATTAATTAATTGCAAACAACCGATAGTGAAAAATGGTAGCCAATAGAACTTACTGAAATTTTTATTGTTATCATCAGCAATAAAAATGTTTTCGACTCTGCGGGACATTTGTTGGGCATAAAATATGCAACACCGACACAGATCCTGTAAATATATAGTTATTAGAAAATAGTACAAAATTAAAGAAAATGTGCAATCTTACATTGACGATTTTGGCTACAAAGATGTAGGAACCCTCGACCTCTGGCCAGTCAAGTTGTTGCCAAAATATCTTAATTTGATAGAATATCGAAAGTGTGTCCACTGCTGAGGAGCTGTATTTCACTGTTTCGTCGACGGCTTTCAGCTGATCCAAATCGATTGCTTTCTGAATACGACCTAATGCCTTGATTATGGAAATATCCAGCCAGTGAGTAACTCCCCTCTCGAACCAGGGGTAAAAGTTAGCCAGTTCCAAGGGCTCGGAACAAAGAGATTCTCCTATAAACAGAAAAATCAATTAGTGCTTTGCTAAGACCAATACTTAACTACTTTACCTAATTGGACGTAACGCTTGAGTATTAAATAGACTTCAAACAAAGTCGTGCCCATATTTACGTTCTCAAGGTTGGGCAAATATTCGAAATGATCGTCTGGCACATCCAATCTCTTAATATTATTGCACACTTCTATTATAATCGATTTACAGATTTCAGCAAGCTTTGAGTCATAAAATAAATAAAGTACAGCGGAATAGTTAAGCTGAATTTTGCTGCAAGTATACAAGGTAAATAAGTTTCATAAGCCAAATAGCGATCAATGCACAATTGAAAAAACTTACTGGTAAAAGATTTTGTCAAAGTATTCCATTGCACGTTGCAGGTCAGACCGCACCATTTGTATCAGTTTAATGACGTACTGCAGCTTTTCGTCATCGGTTTCAGTGTTTTTAGATTGCCTGCTGCCCTCCACTATGTGCTCCAGCCATTCCCGTGTCCCTGTGTTGATAGCATCCTCAATGGCAGTGTCAATATTGCACGTTTGATCAGTGTCGCTTGTGTGTAGCCATCCGTACACCGATTTTGGGAATATGTCTACACTCTCCGGCACTTCCAGCTCCTTGATCTTCTTTAGAATATCCAGCACTTCATTCAGAGCTCTAATTATGTTTTTATCACTGGTGTTTTTGGATCTAAGTTTCCTTAGCACTGCGAAGCACGACGGAAGCAGCCGTCTCACTCCATCCCAGAATGTTTTCACATCCTCGGAATCGTTCTGCATGTAGGTGATCACTGGCACCACCACATCCAGAATAGAATTGAACAGCGTAAAATTGAGTTTGTGCGTTTCATGGATGGTGCTGTAGGCGTGCCACTGGCTTAGAGCGCAGTCGAAGGGTGTTAGGCCACTCTGGGCTGCATGCTGCGATCGAATGAGTTCGGCATTGGGACTGAACTTTCCGCTCCACCAGTAGTTGGCCACCTGCGAGGTTTCCAGCTCGTACATCAGCAGCAGTTTCAGTAGGTTCTTGTGCTCCTGAACGGCGACACTTTTGTTCTTCTCCGCACTCAACGCCAGATTCACCAGAAGTGATCCTCGACTGCGGCCCTTGCTTCCCTTTTCCAGGTTATACCAAACGGTTAGGCCAGAAACTGGAATAGACTAAAGAATGGGAGGCTTTAGTGGTTCGGTCTTTCATATATTTTATTAGACATTTTTCTACCTTCAGCGTGATTGCAGCTCTCCCTATCAATTCATTATCATGTTTTCCCGACGAAGCTGTTACAGCAATTTCCTTCATCAGCTTGCTAAGTCCTTTCACACCTTTCACATCCAGGATTTTGTTCACTTTTTCTTTTACAGTCTCCGCAGCATCAAAGTCCCTGAAAAAATTCAATAAATAAATTAGTCCGCAATCAGTGCATTTTAGAGTTCAAGGAGCGTTATCAGCCAGATAACTTTGTAAGTTAAATGAGTGCGGTTTATGTGTTCAAAACAAACAATGTCACACTTACCACACTTCAACGATAAGAACTTCGTCTCGAGCATTTTCTGTAATTGGCCTTCAAAGAATATCCAAATTAACATAAGATATTAGTTATTAAACAAGACAATACTCACAGTGAAAAGTGCTCCTCCCATATAGGATTCAATGTGGCAGGCTTAACAGATGAGTTGTATCGATGGGAGCCGTTCGATTCCAAGTACAGGGTAACAAAGGGATCGGACAAGCCATTTGAATCCTTGGACATAAGGTTCTCGGCCTTTATAATCTCGACATTTAGTCTAACATTGGGAGGTTCTTTCAGACGCGCCGCCTCATAAATTTCCTCATGAGTTGCGTTCGGAATTTTGAATGCGTCCTGCACAAATTCAACCAAACTGTTTGTGCACTCTTCGTTGTTTTCACAGCCAATGTTGTTGAAAATTTCAAATAAGATCTCTTCATACAGATCTGTAACCTGCAAAAGCAATAGCAACCATTAGTCGAATCCCAAAAGCGCACAAATTAAACACATGCGACATTTAACCAAATCAGTGGAGTATTTTAATTTCCTTTGAGCAAAAATAGAAAAATCACTTCTCTAAAGGTCAAAGCCTAAGTAAATATCGACAAATTCCAGAATACGGATATATAAACAAAGCGTCACAGGGAAATTGGAAAACAGACCCAGCTGAGGTCATGTTTGCTTAGATACATTCTAAATAGGTATCTTCTATATGCTTTCTGCAATAAAATGTTTTATTTTTCCCATAAATTATACAAGACAATACCATACTGATATTGCGCTCCAAATCAATAAACTTCATAGAATGGGCGTATTTTATGAGCTTTTTCTGATATCTTGTGGCTACATTTTACATAATTCTCAACTATGAAGTGTTCTAAGTTTGGCAAAAAACGAGTACATAAATATATTCAGGAACTGAAATACTCTGTGCACTTAACTCGAGTGACTCAACAATTATCCCAAATCAATGAACTTATACAATCGCTTTTGTTTACCAAGGCACTGTGAATAAACGGAGAACGGATTCCTTCATATATTCTTAAGATCAGTACATTATGGATGGCAGATACACAGATATAGATACGGGAGTAACACATGCCATCTTCCAAACTTCAGGATCTACTTACGGTCATCGAATGGCAGACCGCCTTGGCGTGGGAATCGAGTAAATGCTTGTGGACACCCCGAAAGTGTCGACTGGAAATGCTTCCATTTCGATTCAGTATGCTCATCCGCCGCTCGAATGGCTTATTCAACGACTGGGTGGAGCAGGCTTTCCTCGGGAGCCTGATCTCGTCGCATCCGGTGCGCGTACTGGATCTGGTTAGGCTATTGGTTTTCGAACTTTGGTTAGACGAGCTGTGGTTTTGGGAGCCGAACTTGTTCAGCACACGTGGTAGCGATAGGTAGCTCATGATTGATTCGTGCAACTAACCGATCACTCCACTATTTAATGTTTTTCTCTAGATGCAAGCGAAATATTTGGCAAATACTCTCTTGCAAATATACAATTCGAAATAGACGCACATATTATCGAGTGCGGATCGGAGGCGAGTGGTGGACGAACCGTGGACACCCACGGACTCAGGAACACCGACTGGACACAACCGCTTCGGAGAAGAGTCTGTAGCTAAGTACGTACAATAGCGTCCGGTGTGGAAAATCTTTGCGATATCCGAAATATCTTGACGTTGACCATGAGATAAAAAGTGTATGCGCTCAATTCGATTCAGATTGTTTGCTGTATTTGTGCATATGTACACGATGATGGTAAAGTGTTTGTGAGCAATAATAAAGCAATCTTAAGAGAAAATGGTTTATTTTTGGATACAAAAAGGAAAAGCTCAAGGTGGTAATGAAAAATGTATTTTCTAAAGTACATTAAGCTTTCCTCCGCCGTTCAATTGGCCACAGTCTTCATGTTTGCATGTTCTCTAGTGCTTGTTTATGCTGTCAGTATACATTATTCGGTTTGTTTATACTGTCCGACTATATAGGCAAGTTCTTTTGTTTATTGTACAACCGTTTCTATGGACACGACTTCATTTTCGGTTTCTGTTCAATTAAACTACACCTTCCCAGACGGCAAACATGCGAACAGCAAAATGTTGGTATAAGATAAAACATTGAATTAACTCTGGGCGATCGTTGCGCCTCGTTGCAAACTGGAAAACTGACCTATGTCGCAATTTCCTCGCTGGTCGGGCCTAGAAATTATGACGTGAATGTGACCAGGCCCAAAAGCCATCCATATTCACCAATACCACCCATGGTGGATAGCTAGTAGTGGAGTTGACCGGGTAAAACCCAGAGTGACTGACGAGCTTTATCTTGATGTACTTTCACCGAAATCCTAAAAGCTATAGTGCATACTAACCCACAAGCTAAAACGAGTTCATAAAGCGGCGATAACCCATACTCTCTATTATTAGGGAGGGATTAAACTATAAATCATTCCTAAAGTCAGTTTTACGAATTCGCAAGAGCTCGTATAAATCACTTGTAGAAATATGCAATTGCGAAAGTCATAAAAATCGCTTAAAGTACTAAGCAAATCAGTGTATGGTAACTACTAAATTAAATAGGTAATTTTTTAAATGTAGAAATCTTGTGATAATACCCTAGTCTACGTTTACTAAAAGCTGGAGCTCCATTAGTTGCACCAGGTGGAATGTAGTTTGATTGTCTGATTCGTTGTGACCTTTAAATAGCTTTGTCAACCTGAATCATTGCACTGATTTCTCTATTACAAAACTTACATTCATTACAGGGGCGGAGTCCAGAACCGAAGTGCTGATATCCTTATCCGAGCTTGAGGCCAGGGTACTTTCGGTGGCGAAGGTATCGATGCTGGTGCACTCCGGATCCTGGGTGAGTTGGATGGTGCCATCGGGACTCTCGTCCGATTCTTCTTCTCCAGCACTGCCATTTTCCTCCAAAGGAGCCAGTGAACTTTTGAGGACACCGTCGTCGATTTGAGACTTCTGCCGCAGTAGGGATCCAAATTTTTCGAAGAATCCATCATCTCCATCTTGCAATCTGCAGGTAAAATGCAATTAGTATAGAATTTGAAATAAGTCATTAAATACTATCTGCTTTGGCTAGTCATCGCGTAATGGGTGTTTCATTTCTGTTGGGGATAATATGAGCAAACTTATGTAGATTTGTAATCTCTACACTATGTGTATTGAAAGGCAAGTGAGAAATACCCTAAAACTGAGTCATGTTCAAGTTACGAGTGGGTGGATGGTAAAATCGATCTGTGGGGAAGCCACACTCCCTTACATCACTTTTCATTTCTCACGCACACACAAATGATAATTCCATTTGATAATCTTTAATTAATCTGCTGACACAGTTCTAGTTCTCCAAAATGTTCATATTAGACCCAAGAAACACACATGTCGGCGAACAAATGTTTATATATCGGTGAGTTTCCAAGTTTTCTACAGGTATGCGTGAGTCTGTATTTGGGATCGATTTATTCATCCGACTTACTGCTGCTCATGCTCCGTGGGTGGATTCATTTTGAGCTCCTGCAACTTGAAGAAGAACCCCTTCCACATCTGCTCCTCGTCCATTTTGAAGATGCCTTTTTTTGGATACTTTCGCCGGATGCTTCAGAGGCGCTGAATCAAAATCCAACAAGTGTCACCGGAGTGTAGAAACATACTAACGGCTTATTTGCACCGAAACAACGATGTGATTCATTGCCAAAGCTGCTCTCCGACGTAGATTTTTCTCACACGCTCTTCCGTACACTATCACACATTATAATGAGGTATGGATGTTTGTAACGTCTAACATTGGGCGAAAGTAGGGGAAATGGGAAGGAACGGGATGATACATGCATACATACAGACAGACACTTGTTGCCATGGTGATCGGCCGTTTTTTCTAGCTATTTTGTTTATGATTTTCAAAACATAAGCTCTATAACTCTGCAAATTGTTGAATGAAAATTCATTAAGACCTCTTAGACCAAGAATTGGTTCTAATGGTGGTTTGCCTCACGCACGCACACCTATACTATTAAAGGGCTAGGTGTTAGTATTCTTGTAACTACCTTTGCAGACTGGGGCTTCCATGGTCAAACTACGCACTACGCCGATTTTCAGATGCCAAGCTAAATTATATTCATAACTATATAATTATTGAACCTCTTACCTTATTTTATCGAATATTCTTATTTCCGAGCGCCGGAAGTAACCTTTTAACATGATTAAGTCCTTTGCAAGTTCAAAAAGCTAGATTAAATCGGGCAAGGGGACTTTAAAATCCATTAGCGGTTTCGATAATGACAAACTAAATTAATGATAGAGTGCCGATTTTTTAGCACACTTTAAAATTCTATTTATAAATTAATCTCGGAGGAAATAAACAAAGATTAGATTAGATAGATTTTTGTTTATGTATTACAAATAAATACTAACATAAATAAATCTACCGAATACCGCCTTTCGATAACTTACGAATGGCAGCCCTGCAGTCCGATAATCAAAACAAACCCACGGCAATAACAACAAACAGATCGCATCTCTTGTTTTTGCGTAAATTATAAATTAAAAAGCAATGAATTTGAAGTATAAGCGCCGGTATGAGAGCTTAAAACGCTCCGTCAAGAGTTATCTGCTGGTAAGATCTTAAAAACTTTGGCGAGGTTATGCAAACTTGAGTGTACTGACTAGAAACCTTTAGATTTCTACTCACATATATGTTTGCACTATATCGTGTACCATTTAAAGGAAGTTGCATGACCTATTAACACCAGAATACCAATTTTAGGAGAATGCTGCACTCACGGATGAGATCTGTCGCCTGCAGGCCGAATTATCTGTGACCCGATCTCAGAGACTATACCTGATAGAGCGCCTTATGTTTCACGAGGGCTTGGAGAAATCCAATAGTGGACGTCCCAGTGTCTCGAATGGGAAAGCAGACGCCACTGAAACTCAGAAGAAATACAGCCCAGTTGTTTTACATAAAAACCCCAACGAAGATAAGCCAAAAAGTGTCACCATTGTTCGGAAAAAGAAGCCCATGTTTCCGATGAACCTGAATAATGTATTACTCCACTCACTGGGCGAGATAATATCAGTGAATCCCAATTTCCACACCGAGAGTTGGATATATCCCGTGGGATATGTGGCCACACGAATCTACGCCCATCCCAAGGATCCACGCAAAAAATGTGTGTTTACTTGTAAAATTTTAAATAACGCCGGGATTCCCCAGTTCCAAATAATACCCGACAATGATCTGGATGGAGTTTTCTTTGGAGAAAGTGCCAATATGTGTCACATGGACCTTCTGAACTCCATTCAGCAGTCTCCCTGTGTTAAAGTTAAAATACCCCTCGACGTACAGGGCGAAGTCTTTTTTGGCTTGTCAAACCAAAAAACACAATCGCTCCTTATGATGGATCCTGCATTTCATCAGTGCAAGAATTTCAAGGGTTTCGCTGTGCAGAATGTGCAGTCCTTGAATAGCGCTTCATTATCCTTTGAGACGCTTCAGGGATTTCTATCTTGATAGGAGTTTTAGGTCTCCCCTTACTTATATTAGGTTCTCGCGGATATATAAATAAATGTATAAGAATAATAGGTTTATAATCTAGAGACGAGTTTTATTTCTCTGGTACACCCGTTGCGAGATACATTTATGTACCTAAGAGGTACAACGGTACATGTTTTGGTCGTGAAATGTAGGCATTAAAAACCAAAACAGCTGATTTATCTGTTTCAATTCCATTTCGTCCGTTTCAGTATAAACTTTCTATTATATTATGCATTCATTGTAACTCAAAATATTAAATTATTTCGAGTGTTTCAGACAGAATTGTGAAAATTCCTAGATAAATAGATAACATATTATTCTGTAAACTCTTCGTCCCTATTCCGCATTATTCCATGCACTGAAAATCATATGTTTTATTTGTGCATTCGCGGTCATTTCAAATGAAACAGTGCATGTGTACAATTGTGGTCAACTATCGACATTTCTATGGAAAATGCGAAAAAAACAGGCTGGCAACCTGCCTAGCCAATCGGAAATACAACCCTCGAACAGAAACATATGTACACAACACCTATCTGAAAAGTATTAAAACAATATTTTTGGAAAGTTGTTTTGGCTGGCGTTGAATTAAGCGACATCGCAACAGCAGCTGAGGATATAGCCAACCAGCGGAATCGGTAGAGATGGGGAGCATCGAAAAGGCGTGCATATCCGGATTTCTGTGCCGACTTTGTTCAGAGATGCACCGCACAGTAATACATATTTATAGTGATCATGGCCAGCGTTTGTGTCTTGTTGAGAAAATCAACGGTTACCTACCAATTACAGTGAGTATCAGCCACTGATGAACGCGGCCGAAAGGTAGAGCTTTTCATTAGGCACGCCGTCATCATCAAGGATGTTTGTGTGCACTCAATGACAGCCGTTCGAATAGTTTTTCCCACCTACCAGCATCATGTGAAATAATTTATTGATTTATCGCTTACTGCTCCATTGCACCAGATATCTCCGACTGATCCATTGCCAAAAACCATATGCAAAACATGTCTACATCGCGTGGAGCAGCATTACTCGTTGCTGATGCGACTGACACGGATGCGGGAGGAGCGCAAGTTTAAGTTAATCAATTACAAAGCAGAAGTGAGTAGTAGTAGTGACCCATAAAGATTATTGCACACAATACCTATATCATTGATTACCCAGAGAAATCCCTCGATATCCAGCGTGGAATCGGAAGAGGACGTGGTGAGTTGTACACTTCAATCGAATGATGCATAATCTCACCCAGTCCGTTCGGATTTTCCAGATAAATTCAAGTTCGGCTCACGAATTCCCCAATGGGGAGGAACAAGCGAGCCGCCGCAGCGAGTCGGCGAGTACCGAAGCCGAGACTGGTCAACAGACCCAGGAATCCCAAACCCAAACCCAATCCTCCAAGTCAACAGAGACTGCAGTGTCCACACCAAACAGCAACGAAAGCCACGATGCTAGTGGTGCTGGCCCCAGCAATAGAGACCCAAAAGAGACTGGCACAGGCAACTCAGGCACGGGTAGCGCCACTCAGGAAGGAACCCATGCAGATTAATGACTGCTAGCCTCGTCCCTGGGCGGTGGAACTATATATACGAGTACTTGACTATGTACATATATATAGACGCGTGTGTACGTACGTTTAGATTGGAATAAAATAAGCATTTTATTTAATTATCTAGTTAATTTCGAATACAAATGATAAGTGAACCATTTAAACGGGATTCTTACTGCGGATATGGGGGTATATTTTTCTAAGATAGCGTATTTCATGGTTGCCAACGCCTTGTCCAAAGTATGCCTCCTGTCACTTCGCTCAACGTGGCATATCCACTTTGCTTACCTCAATCTTATCGCAACGCCATTTCAGTGGCTAAATCTTTTCGCATGATAGCAGCAAGTGCTTTGTTTCACTTAGTTAGCATGATGCATGCTTTCGGTTGTATGTTCCTTGACATGGAAGTCCTCCTTTGTTTATCGATGGAAGCAGCCCCAGCTAATTTACCCAAGTGTTTTGTTAAATGGAGTCTGGTTAGCAGAGTTTTTAATGCATTGTTTCCCCTTTCATTCTTGGCTGACCACAGAAACTACCAACAGAAGAAATATTTCAGCAGTTTGGTAATTAAACTATTTCTTTAATCGTAATTAATGAACATGTAGGGATAGTAGGTTTCTTTAACTTATTTGAAAAAGAAGCAAATACATAGATTCGTATCGGTGCCTGTAATACCAGCAAAAGTTGGAACATTTATATTTTTTCTTGATATGTATAACTTGAACCCCGTGACTCTTGTTCCAATTCTAACCAATTGTAAACCTCGTCTGTCTTTGAAATGTTCGTTTTTATTGAGCCTAACAATACGCACGAATCGCTGAATACTTAAAATTGTCAATCAGAATGGTATTATGATAACTTAGTTTATCTTGCTTTTCCTATCACTAATGCTTCCTGCCATATATGTATGTATACGCAAACCGATCAGGTGCATACGTATGTACAATATAGTGGGGAAAACACTTGTGCTTGCAATTGTCGGTACATCTTAAGTTAGTAAACGTATATTGTTTTCAGTTGCGGCTTCAATTCTGGAGGTATCACTGGAGTGTGTTCCACTTTTCGAGTAACTAAGCGCTTAAACCGTCCACTGAATTGCTTGCGAAATCCCTTAAAGCTGTTTTTATCACTTGAGGCCATCATGTCCTGGAAGAATGAATAGTATTCGATAAGTACTTGGTTTTAGCAATATAAGATATTATCATTTTAATAAGCAATTATATATCATAAACTTCCCAATAAACTAAATAAAAGCTAAATTTTACTTATTATATAAATAAAATTTACTTAGTTATACGCTGATCGTGAGTCATATTTTAGTTTCGCCTTATCGATAATGCATATTTAAAAACTGCAAGATTATTCAAAGTTGATTCATTGAATGGGGTTTTTTCCTGAACTAAACACTGTAAGTGTTTTGCCAAAAAGTCCTTGTCCGCTTTATGAACACTTGAGATGTGCAAATGTGCAAACGTGAAAGTGAAAACAAATGTGGCTGGCCCTTCCTTAAAGTATAAACATACGATCCCAGTAAATTTGTAATTTATGAACCCCAACTGACCTGCGCTTGTATGTGGGATCCTCTAATCTTATCATTGAAATTCCTCGAAATGGATCTATTTATGGCCGAGCGTGCCGAAGCTAAAGCCTATAATATATGGCCAAATGTCCGTATGTCGGCGCATATACTGCCATACATACTAATGACTTAAATGGCAATTGCTGAAGTGCAAACAATTTGCTTCCCCTTTATCTTCCGCCAACACACGAGCACAAAGACTAGGAACTAAATATACTACGTATAAATGGTCGCCCGTGGAGTATCTAATAATCGTTACGTCATAATAATCTGCACTGCGGAGCTAACTTGTGCGACTGGCGGGTGGGTGGGCTATCTATTACACAGGAACTATGCAGGGAAGCAAAAAAACAATGCCATATCACAAAGATATATGTATCTCTTTATAGGCTTAATTCGCTTGTTTTTGGTATGTGATTCGAAGTAATTTGTTGTATCGTAAAATATATCATATACCATATCGTAAAGTTGTATCTGATCCTAACTCACATGACATTCCTGCATTACATACACTTTTACTTCCAGTGCAGACTTACCGGACTCAGGCAATTGTAGATGTGCGGAGTGGGCGCCTTTGGGGGGAATGTCCACTCCGTTTGGATGGAGCTCCCATTCCCGTTTCCGTTGGCGTCGCAAACAGCTGCTGCATTACTGGTCCTCACGAACGTAACGCTCTGGGTTTGTTTGGCAGGTGCTGAAGATGTAGATGATGTGGCGGATACAGTAGCGGATGCGGATGCGGATGCAGATGAGGCCTTGGCCCTGGACTTTCCCTCGCTCGATTCCTTCATTTTTATGTGGTCGTCCCAGTAGCGTGTGAATATATTTTTGGTGTGCTGGACGTCGGTGGACGATGGATGCTGGTGCGGATGCGGGGTGTTCAGATAGTCGGTTACAGAAACATCACGTTGACAACATTTACTGCGGACAAGACGCATCGTTAATTTCCCAGTGATACCCTCGATCGGTGCAAAGTTAGTTCATTTTTAAGGTACACGCGTATCACAGATGGTTTCTCTATCGGTATGATATGTAAGACATTTGCTATACATGCCAGCTAAATGTCGATGGCGATGGCGATGGCGATGTCGACCATTGGCGGAAGTGGTTTTCAGTTTTCGCTTTTCGGTATACTAATGTCTCGCCTGACTGTTTGGTTTCTTTCGTAGTGGTTTTCTTTTTGTTTGCAGGTAGGAGCTATGTATGTAGCGGCTACCCAGCGTTACAGCGCGACTAGAATATCGATTTTCTGTACTTGGGCTGGCGTTTTGGGTGGTGAGTTAGTCATGATGGCTGCGCACTATACTTTTTGGCTCAGCCCTACTCCGAAGTTTGGTTAAATTCAGCGGGCTCCTTTGTTTGTTGTGTTTGGTTTTTGGCCAGCACTCTATTGCGACTGTTTTGCCCGATGTGGTGTATTTATAGGAATGACACTTTTCATCTTTTCAATGCTAGACATAACTTACACAATATCAATTTTTTTTTTGTTTTTCACTAGGCCAAGCGGAGGAAAACCGAAACCGAAACGGAAAAGCAGAGAAGCAGAAAACAGAAAAACAGACAGACGTGTCGAGTATTTTCTAGTCGTTGTGCTCGTGCAGGGGAAAAATGCGATTAATGCTGGCACTCGCACTCTTCACTACAACCACACATCCACACATATGCGACTGTTGTATGTCTGCACATTTTCTTGAACTGCTCTACACGTAAGTACGCACATTAGATTCGACTTGGACTTCAGTTCGGTACGGATGGCAGCGAGTGTCTGAATGTGAATCTGAATTCGAGTGGCACAGAACTCGACTGAACAAAACAAAAGCTACGAATCTGACTCATGTGCGCTTGGCTACAGTCAAAATATCAATCGAAAGTCGCTGCGAATGCGAATGTGAATGTGAATCGCTCTCTCGATCTCTCTCCGCTGTTCATTTACCGTATGTATATGTACTCCGATTCCATTCCCACTCGTATTCGTATTCGTTTTCGTATTCGTGTGTACTTCTGCTCGCTCTTTTTTCAAGACCTTCTGACGTCAGCTGACATTTAGCGAGCACTGTGTTTTCACCAACACCAACCGGGCAGATTTGCTTGTATTTGGGTATCGGCGGGTGTATAAATAGCGTGTTTTGAGTGATTTACCCGAAGATACGAAAAATCCAGGTTCCGAGGAATACGCTTACGCCAATGGTTACGATGGCTGCGAAAATATCCCCAAAAACACGATCGCGAACGATACGAAACGCTGCTTTAATTTGAGCGTACCACGTTAAACTATCATCGCACTTAAGCAATTGGCTAGATTGCTAGCCGAGTTAGCCCCTGAACTGTGGGCCCAGTTGCTAAATGGGCCGATCTAAATATTTTTGTTTGCTTGCGCGCTAATTAATTGAAAGCAATCAAGAGATAGGATAGGTATTGTCTGCGATGTGCGCCAGTGAACAATGGATCTTCTGCGATATTAGGTATCTGTATCTGCGTGTTCCATTCCCACCGTTCCAACCAAATGGCGTTAGGAATTGAATTTTCGCGCTCACTTTTCCACTAATTGTTACCATCCATCTGATTTAAAAACTGCGTGTTTCTTTGGTGTTAATAATAGTTTTATTTCGACTTATTTTTCGTTTTCGCCGGCTCTGAGCTGAATATTTTGGCTACCTTTTTGCCAACAAATAAGAGAGCGACTACTGCGAAAATACCCAAAGTCACCAGCGATGTTAAGTTTTCAGTTGCAAAATAACTCTGCAGTGGGCCCAAAAATTCGTTTCTGAAAAGCACGAGAGTTTAAACATTAGCCTTTTTGTTCATTATTATCTGTATAAACTTTTTGGAGTATTAAATTCGATCTTTTGAAACCAGGAACTGTTTTAGCTAGGGTAAAATTGATTATTATAATATTGTTTATGTACAAACTGGATATTATACAACGGTTACGATTAACATTTGGTTCTATATTAATCAACGGAGTAATATTAACAATTGTTTAATGCTCGATGGTAGAATCAGTGTCTTTGTTGAATACCCTCAAACTGGCGTTATATGCAAACCTTGTACCGGGGACTAAGAATCAGTATTTGTTAACTAATTCTAATTATTAATAGGTTTAACAAGTTTTTTCTTGGCTCACTTACTAAACACGTGTATCAGTTTCTCACAAATCCCTATAAGAAGGTCATAATCGGACTTTGAGTTTAAAATTCGATCGATGGAAAATTTTAAATAAATTCAGCTATGAGAAGGATACTTACACCGCACTCGGGATTGCCGGCACTGGCTGAGGATGGCTCTGGGTATATCCCTTCTCGGCAAACTGGACAAAGGCCTCGGGACTGTATTGCTTGGCTGAGTATTTGTACATCTTTCCCTGTCGCAAGCTGCAATGAATATAGTTAACATTATCTGTCCTTCAACACAACCAAAGCGATGAGTGCTTACAAAATAAAAGCCGGTGATTCCAATACTCCCAGTCGTTTAGCAGTTGAGATTCCAGACTCCAAGCTGTTCATGCGGGCAATGTTCAGCTTTCGCTTCAGCTTTCCGCCCACAGATTCCCAGACGGCATAGAGTCGCTGACAGACGGTACACTCGGCCGAAGAGCTGGAAGTAGGTGTAGGTGAGCATATGTGCAGATACACAACTCATGACGCTTAGATGGCGACCTCAACGCATGACTAATATAGCTTACAAGAAGATAAACCAGTCCCCGGTAGTGGCACCCGACGAGGCTTGAGTCAGGTGCTCGAAGTTGTCGTCGGAAAGCTCTTTGACCGCTGGCTCCAAGTTGTCATTGAAGAAGTCTAGGATTTCGTCATCGTTGATCTCGCCATGATAGAGAATGGGTATTCCGCGTCTGAAGAACACCAGGGCGGGCTCCTTGCTGGGGTCGTAGATGGACACCAGGTTGCTGTCAACCGACTGGACCACAATGGCCGACAAGGTCTCCTCCAGCTGGGCACGTATCTTGGTGACCATATTCTCATATTCCACGCAGCTCTTGCAATTGTTTTTGTCTGCAATTAGGTGCGCTCGTTAGCCAGTAACCGGTGTGCCATCCTCCATATGCACAGTGGACACGTAAGCTGCATTTCTCTGGCACATATATGTACCAATACTCACTGAATAGGACAACCACATTGCTGCTGCCGGTCAGGAGTTGAATCAACTCGGTGTCGTCCACACGCCGCAAGTCCTGGCCTGCAGCACTTCCCAGACTCAGGGCTATAATAACAACCGATATTAGGTGCAGCATTATCTGACTGTGGATCTGGAGGAGCGGAGTGGATCACTGGCGAATGAATCCGATCGGAACTTGGATGCCGACGGCCAGTGAGCCCGACTATCGATAGTCGGCAAAATGTATCGTCGCCAGTGATGCGAAAGGTGACAGCTTTCGTACCTAGGTAAGGTAGCAGGTACACACATGTACCTAGGTTGATATTTGGTGGCAAAGGAAAAACTTTTGTCTAACTGATCTTGTACTGCCTGATAAGCACAGTTTAGGTAGCAATTCAAGTTTCAGACAGCTTCACGGTAACAAGCCATCAAGCAATCATTTACTTGTGGAGGATCTTGAATCGCTTGAAGAACCAGTTATCGCTTACTAACGGTGAAATAATAAGTCACAAGTTTAAATAAAATTCAAAGACAAGCCACAAGAGTAAAATATGAAATACTTTTATTAATAAGATTTTAACAAATAAATAATCAAATGTAATACAATCTGTAACAATGCATTTATAACTAGTTTTGGTATTGATCTACGAACTTCTACCTTCAAAATTTTCTATAGAATTTATTACAAAATCGTAGAGGTCTTCAATTTGTTGGGCTAATTTATCTAAAAAGGGCGAAAAAATGCCATTAATAATTAAGGCTGAAAGATCCATAGGAAAACACTTACCCTTATCTGTCTCTACAAGTTTGCTTTCCATTCCATCGCTCTCACCAGATCCAGACATCATCATATCGTCCTTGAAAATATTTTTCAGCTTCGGCAGAACCAAGAGTAAGAAAATCAATCCGATGAACTTGACGATTTTCTTGAATATCAACAACTTGAGCAATATCTTTCCGAGCGTATACAAATTGATCTTGGACTTTAACTTTTCCAGAATGGAGTCGTGCGAATGGTAGGGAATGAGTGGTGCTGGCTTATAAAAGGGAGGAGGTGGTGGCCCATAGGATGGATAGCCAGCTGGCGGTCCATATTCCGGTGGAGGAGGCAGATAGTTGTTGTTCGGCGGTGGCAGGTAGTTGTTGTTCGGCGGTGGATTGTACTGGTATCCATTGTTCGGCGGAGGCAGGTACTCCGGTGCAGGAGTGGCTGGAGGTAGGTAGCTGTTGCTCGGTGGGGAGCTGTAGCTGTAGCCCCCACTGTCGTTGCCTAATAAATGCAAAAGAATCAAGTAAGTCTAGATTTCAACTTCAACAGTATTCCATTGACTTTTGTTGTAAGGATTTTACTATAGTTTTGAAGCACTCAATGAAAATTGATAATTCAGAATCACACATATTTGCAATTATAATTTATGAACTTCCTTTTGGGCTATTAGTTTCAGAGATTGGTTCTTTTACTGTGAGTTTTGCAGCACTTATAATCTCTTTTTATCCTTTTAATGGTTCACACACCGAAATCCAATGAGTTCGAGTTCTGGATATCCCCGGAATAGCTATCTCCAGCACACACGCAGATGCAGGAAGTGCATATCAGAACGACAATGTATGCGGTACGCATTTTTTGATCGCGTTGAGATATGAGTTAAGCGGTTCCTAAAAGTACAATAAACGGTTTTCTTGCTGTCCGTCGCTTTATAAATTTCGGGCCGAATACATTGTTGCAAAGAAAATATCAGGTGGACGGACGTGTGTGCAAGTATTTATAACTGCCATCGCATTTCCCCCGAAAGGCTTGGTCCCCACTTATAGGGCATATATGCAGCGTGGAGCCGAAGTCGAATCACTTGGAATCACTTGTGTATTCTTGCAAGAAATGTGGCTACCGTCCGCCTCACGTGCTGTTCAGTATTCATGCTACGTGCAATCGCTTGGATTGAGTTGGAGATTTCGAAAGAGACGCACAGAGTTCAATACAACTTTCACTAGCCAACTTTCAAAAAGCCTGAAAATAGCAAACCGCCTATATTATATAGTGCTTGTCAGTTTGTGTTTCATTCGGGGATTCAACCACATTTTTGACAAATTGTTAAACCCGTTTTGTGGGAATTTCGGATTTGCATAAGTGACACAAATTGATGACATTTCGGACAAGTGTTGCGAATGTAATACTTTTGAAGATACTTAGGAATTCTGTCAAAGACTGAAACGTCGTATGTACACAGTAACTACTGTTAGCTGTTTCAATGAAAATATGATGTAGTGGGTACGCACCGTAGGTCTTAATGGGCCCTAATAGCTTTATGTCGGCGGATATGCTTACAATATAGACGACGGATCTTCAACTTGGTTAATGTGCCACCACACCGCCTGAATTGTTAATTTTGAACTGCATTTATGCGCATTTAATTGCAGTTACACTGAAATGTTAAAAACTAAATCAAGATGTTAAGATAAATAATAAGCAAACAACATAAGATCGTTCAAAACTTTAAAGGTTTAATGTTATTAGTTTAAATATATATCCAAAACCATTAGTTTCTATTTCCTGCACTATCTGATTGTTTATATATATTTTTAACTGGTAATTGTAATCATTATATTTCCGTTACTATTTATCTCGGTCAGCACCGGAAGTGACCCAATTTAGATTCATAAACGTAAAGATAGCAAAATATGGAGGAAAAGTAGCTTAACAATTCCATTGTTGAAACTTATTGTATATTTTTGTAAAATTATTGTACGAAATAGATAAGTTACGTTAAAGAACTTTAAAGATAGATATATTTGAAATATAAACGAGTACGGTCACCCAAAAGCTGATAATCGAAATGGCCTAGTTTTCGCCAGGCCGTACGGTCACACTGCGCCTTGACTCAATTAGTATTTACAATTGGAACGCTGATAAAAAGTGAATAAAATTGTTGCATCGCAGGCGAAAGTGGGATCAAATGGATTCAGCACAGGAAGACGCATCCTGCACGGATGTGTTTCTGGTCACGGCGAACGTTGGCAGCCTCTTCGAGGACGTAAGTGGTCGTTGGAACGGATGCGATATGTCCACTGGGCTAGGAAGTATACATGTTTACGTACGGCCCATACATACACGATGCGTAAATCGCATATTTATGTATGGACTCACTGACATACATTGATATGTGTATCCGAATCCGAGTCCCCAAACAAATTGGTATTCAGCACATTAACGCCCGCCGATAATCGAATTTCCAATCCACTTTGCAGCCGGAGAGGCTTCTGCAGCTATGGCTAAGCGAATTTCTCGCCAAGATCGCCCACGCCCAGCCCCGTTTCCTGGGACTCCATCTCCAGGAAGTGGGCGGAAAGACGTACGAGAAGTCCATGGAGTACGTGCAGGAGTTCATCAGGTGCCTCTGCGATGCCCCCGAAATGGCCGATTTCACCTGCGTACACATCTTCATGGACGAGGATTTCAAATCAGCCGAGCACTTTACGGTGGGTGAATCGTGTTTCTAGGTCAATCGGCACATCAAAACCCAATTCAGATGAACTGAGGCGTTAACGCACTTATTGTTCAATTGAAATTGAACAAATAAGTACTGGGCTTAGTCATGATGAATGAGTCTTGAATTCATATATTAACAAACCCAAAAAACAAGATTCTATTTCATTTCTAATTGTTCAAAAAAATATGTATCTTTAGGCCCTTGGAAGTCTCTACTTTGTGCATAAGGATGTTGATTCTCTGAAGATATGGAATTTCCTAACCCACAGCTGGGAAGAAAGTCTTCAAGACATTAAGGATAAACATATCTATTCCGGAAATATTGAAACTATTGCCACCAAAGAAAAGTCCAAGTTCCCACAGCATTTCTTTCCAGAGGTAGGCTTAACGCATATTATAAAATAATATTAATATTTATCCTTTTATTCTATTCAGTGTAAATGGTCCCGAAAAGGTTTTATGCGAACCCGATGGGAAATCAATGGCACCGTCATCGATCTAGTCAATATTCACTTATTCCACGATGCATCCAATTTGGCTGCATGCGAAAATTTCCCCTCCGTTTATTGTAAGACGCGCAGAAGAGCCCTAGTTCATACCATTGAAAGGTGAATGTTACTGCTGCTCTTTGACCTAATAATAAGTTAATGTGCCCTATATAGGTTCCATTTGGACGAACAGAATGGCACTGTGCCATTTTTCCTCTTTGGGGATTTTAATTTTAGATGTGACACTGAAGGCGTTGTGAAAGTAAGTTAAACCTTTCAATTATTTTAAACAGAAATGAAATGACTTTTCTATTAGGAATTAACTGAAAACTTGACCCCTCATCGCGTTCAAAATGTCAAGAATGAGAACGATAAGATCCATTATCGCAACTCAACTGGAAACAACGTACTTACCGTTGGAAAGAAAGAATTTAGTCATGCCGACCATCAACTTAAGTTCAAAGAAGACTGGGTAAGTAAATACATTCCAAACACAAAACTCAATTACAAAGTTTCCCCTACTTTTAGCTAAAGAAATTTGACAGAGAGCTGGAGCCACTTAAAGACGTCCTAGTCGAATATCCAATTAAGTTCGTGCCCTCTTATCCCTTCGAAGAAGACCCAGAAATGCCCACCGACTATATGTCTACTCGCTGTCCGGCCTGGTGCGACAGGATTCTGATGAGTCCCCAAGTCAATGAGATTATCCAGAGCGATGATTGGACATATGGAATGATAGGAGAAGCTGTGTGCATGGGCGACCACAAGGTAAAGTTAATAGTAGCTCTTTTCAACTTACCCATTTTAGTAACTACAGGAGCAATCTAAAATTACTTACATATCCCGATTGCCTTTGGCTCTTGCACCAATTTTGACAAATATTCTTGCTCTTCGCTATTAGAGGCTTTATATGCTTCATATACTTTTTCCAAACGTCTTACTCAAACAGGCTTTTTCTAATTCTGCTTCCATTCCTAACAACTATGTTTCCCCTCGGCATGGTGTTGCTTAGTCCACTTGTAGTGCGCTTACAAACTCCTTTAAAATATACATATTACTCAAAGATAGAGTACACCAACTAAAAACTGTGAAGGAGTCAAATTCTTTTTACTATCAGCTCTTTACAATTCTAGATGAATCTGCAAGGATATTTTAGAGCTTCGGTTTATCGAAGTAAGTTTAAATAACGTAATCACTTTCGTAGCATAGATTATAAATCTGAACTTAGGTCAGGCAAAATTGCCGGAAATCATGTGTATATACCATTTCTAAAGGAACTTTCTACTTCAATCGGTCTAATAATTATTATCTCTTCTTTTCTGTCATGTAGCCTGTTTACTTAACTGTCCGTCTTAAACCAAACAAAGGTACTTATAGATCTTGTGATTGCAACTACACGAATACTTACGCCAAGCCCAACAAAATCTCAACATCACCTCTGCCCGCAGTCAAACTGAAATACTGTCCCTATTCAAATAAGCTCTTTGAGGATATAGCCACCAGTTCTAAGTTGATTGTTGACACGGAAGCTCGCAACATGTACAATTCCCTTAAAATTACTCAAGACGTGGAGGCGAGCAGAACGACTTCCTCGAACTTCCCGAATATTAGTATTAACATAATTGATTCCGACAATATCTGCATGTGCCTGTGCGCACACCTTTCTAGTAATAGTCTGTTGCAGTTTGACGACTGCAATCGAACAGGCGAAGCCATTTGCCCCATGTGCCGGAACATAATCAAAAGGCAGCCGGTGGCACACCGCTATAAGCTGCTGTCCAAGCGCCTGATGATATCGCAGGATATCATAATTAACCGAATAGATACACAGCATCTAAGTACGGACTCTGAGCGACAGTATGAGGATCCGTACACCCCGGAGAGCACCGAGTCGCATTCGCCCTATCCGGAGGTCACTAGCTCCTGCACCTCCACCTCGAGCAGCTCGCGCAGTCCATTCGAACGCAGACTAGAGACGGACAGATTAGCAGAGAGCAAAGCTGGCGAATCGGATATATCGCCCTGTCCCGAGGTGGGCGAGCCGGTAGCAGAGAAACCCGCCAGAGGCACTGTAACACCAGGTCAACTGAAATCACGGCTAGAGACTTTAAAGCGCTTATCCATCAAAGACGAAGTCGAGGACGAGAGCCAAGACGCAGTTGATGAGGCGGGAGCGGGTGATGTTGAACATGTTGGCGCTGTTTGCCCCCCAAACGCTGCTCCAATGCGCCCAAAACGCCGCTCTAAAGTTATTCCTATGTGTTGTACCATCAACTAATTGCAGTTTTTTGTTATTTTCATTTATATTTTGTTGTTAAGAAAAGTATTTTAAAGCTGGCGATTCAACTACCGCTTGTTAAAACGCTGTGCATTATTTTATACCTATTTTATATTAACTTATGTAGTAGAAAGATTCAAAGATTTCTTAGCATCTGCATGCACTAACTCCATTTACCAAAACAATTAATGGCTATGTTTGAGTCCTAGCTTCAATACTTTTTCTTTACTTATCTTAAGTACTGAAATCTCTATATTCTGCATTTTCGAAACTCATTTTTCTACCTTTAATATTGTAGTACCAAACCAGAAGGTACAAACTTTGAAAAGTTGTAATAGTTTTACTGTGACTTGCACCTGAAGCTTAAACGCCAAGGTGCGCGAGATATCTTTGAATTTACTTTGTGTAAATATAATTTTAGACCCAATGGAATCGTATGTAAATATGTCGAGCGATTATAGTTATAATTTGTAACTCATGTGCATTTAAAAACCATACCGAAATCTCTTATATCCATTTATATCTTATGTTCCCTGTTCCTTTTCGCAGTAAAAGCGATTCAGCCTAAGCCCGTATTAAACTATTTCTTTGAATCTGTGTTTTAAGTATGTATATTGTTTGTGTTCGTCTTCTTTAAGAAAATAAATTACTTTTTTATACCTCACTTGTCTTCTTTTCTTTTTCTTTTCATTTATATTTTATATTATTTTTACGTTAAAGTGCATTTCTTTTTCAGTTTTCTATCACTAATCAAAGTTGCCAGCGGACCGAGAAAATGTTCGTGGATCAAAAGTCCAGCTCGCAGCGTCGTTTGTAATTTCTTGAAGTCCTATAATCATACATTTATACTTTTCTAGGCCCTGCGGATCCCACAGCTATCTCGAAGCTACCGGAGAGCTTGGCGAACCTGGTGAATCAAGCGCTGAACGACGAGAGCCTGTGGATGGAGCAGTCCGTGGTGGACGATTCGAGTGCATCGAATAGCTCCGCGGCCAAGTCGCGCTATATCTTGATGAAGAAGGGAACCACCAGTCCGTGCAAGGAAGACCCCGACGAGGCAGGTGCTATGGCCGCCAAGAGCGACGGACTGGATACCGAAAGTGCTATGCTGCTGAAGGAAACAACCGTCTAAGAGCTTCGCTACTTTTAACTTATGCCAGCTGAGCCAATAACTTGTACCGTGTGGTTTTGTGTTATGTACCTGTTATGTTAAACGCGTCCAATACGAGCTATTTATTTGTCACACCGCCAAGAAATGTGGAGAGCAGTCGCAGTAATAAAATATACGTACGTGGTAGTCGCATTTATTTCAGAAAAACGTTCAAAAGATGAAAGGATGAAATCTAAACCAGGCATTTAAACACAGTTCCACGCACGCATTAAGACTACGGCTAGACAACTATTCGATGAGTTTTTTGGCTTTGAAGTATCTGCGGAGGTACAGAACTTGCCACGTCGCCAAGCCGAGAAGGCAGCACATACTGAAGATGCTAAAGAACAGGACGCGACTGTTGGTTTTCTCTGCAAGCAGGATGCGAAAAATAATTTGACGGAATTCTAGAGAATTTCGGTATCAATCTTACCATTGGTATCGCGCATTTCCTCCTCCCGCTTGCGCATGAGAACGAAGTCACGCACAATGGAGTCGGAGAGGTCCTCCAAACGCTTAAGATCAACTTCCAAAGGCTTCAGCTTGGAGGCCTCGCCAATCTGAATTATTGTAGAGGAATACACGTCATTTAAATGATACAAAAAAGGAAATATACGAGTACTTACGCCTTCGTAGCTCTTGGTCTCCACTCCCTTTTTGGTCAAGAGCGATACTTCCTGTACAATGCCGCGTTGATCTGGGAAGAAAATGCAACGTGTATATAATAATATTATCTACATATAGACGTTTATTGCAAAGTAGTTCGCCGGTTTATAACTTACGTGCAGGAACTTTTGATATGAAGCAGATTTCGTAGGCATCGTACACCTCGGACATGAAGCTGAACTTGCCCTTGGTGATGTGCTCCTTCTGCGACAGGATGTGTCCCTTGGTGTCGCGAGCCTGTTGGACGCAAATTCACCGGGTTAAGTGCGCGGAAAAAGACGTGTACTGAGCGGAAAACTCACAATGTAGTCGATGATCTGGCCGGGCACGTCGGAAACCTCGTACTCGCCCATCACCAGTTGGTTCGCCTGGATGTCTTCCTTGAGGCACTTCTGGGTGTTCGGCGACAGCTTGAACATCACCGCATGGCTGCTCCAGGCACAGGCCATCAGTAGGCACACAATTAAAGCCGCCCTCGCCATAGCTAACAAATTAAATATAACAAAATCTACGGCTGACAAAGATGAGGTGGCTGTTTTATAGAGCTGGCAGAAGACCGATGTTTTTGCGTTGTTATCGATGTGTCCAGAATTTTGGCACCTTCGTATCGATAGTTCGGCGATGCAGCCCTGGTATGTTGCTAAAAATTTAAATTTAGCAAAATCTACGGCTGACAAAGATGGAGGTGTCTGTTTTATAGAGCTGGCAGAAGACCGATGTTTTGCGTTGATATCGATGTATCGATTTTGGCACCTTCGAATCGATAGTTCGGCGATGCAGCCCTGGTATGTTGCTATTCGCTACTAAATGTTGGAAAATACCGCAGCTTCAATTTTTGCTCAAAATTTTATATTCAACTATACTTGAATAGAATCCAATCGTAAGTCAAGTGTGCAAGGCTTCAATGCTGATTATGAACTTACATTTTATTCCAACGGCCGTTAAATCAGTGTTGCTAATGTCGCTTTTGTCTGCGCAACGCCGTTCGTGAAAACAGACGGCTTCGGAAGCGTTAAGAATCCTGTCAGTGTATTGGTTAATGTGCGTGTGGTGTCAGTGTATGTGGTTCTTTAAGTAAAAATATATCGGAGTTTATAAAAACTTTTAAGCAACAAACTCTGCCTGCCTTGTGTTTTTATATCATTTATTTTAAAAGGGGTAATATAGCCAAGGGCCAGCCAACCGAATCGGCGCCGCAATACTAAGCCATTTCCTATTTGCAGGCAAAAAGTGCAGCAAATGTCAGGCGTGGATCAGGTAATTGTATTTTGCATACACACATTTGTACATATGCTCGATTCGATTTATGTCGGGATTTCGCAGGAAGATTTTCCATTGTAAACCAGTGATTGTTCGCGGATACAGAGTGCCTGGTAAACAATACGATAATTGTATTAAACTGCGGTGTGTTTCTGTTTCCGTTTCAGATGAAAATACCAGGAAACACAGGTATATAACCTACCACCACAGACAGCGTTTTCCTATAGACAGGAACTACTCGACGGCCGAGTTTCGATCGTATTTCTTGCTTAATGTGCGGTTTTAATGCGCTTTTCTCTGTTTACTATGCCCAATAATGCAGCTAAATCGGTCGAGGAGCGCAACATACCATGGAGTCAGCAAGTCGATGAGGCCTCGTACGAAAATCTATCCTCTCCCACCCACGATGAAGTCTCTGGTGAGTTCTTCGACTATAATATATGGGTTTCGCCTAACCTTCTTCTTTGATTCGAAATCCCCAACCACCCACTTCCCCCACCAAGGCAACGACAACTCCATGCAATTCCAATATCCGCCGTTCAACTTCAAGGAGAATTGCAACACTCCATGGAATAATATGAACAAGGGCCGAAAGGCGAACGCCAACCATGGTATGTATAGCAGTTTTCACCCAGCACTTGGCTTGCACTCGGCTAGCAATCGTTCTCACTAACTGGTTTTTCGACTCTGCGAATATGCATAAGTCGGTGCACCGGGAAGTCGGGATTAGTCCGATTAGCTTCCGATTGGACTCGCTTTGGCCTTGCGGCCAATAATCTCGTATTACTATCACTGTAATCCCGATCAAGATAAGTAGCTTTGTGCCATCAAAATAAAAATTCTGGTCTGCAAAAGAACCCCAATACTTCGCACATTATATAATTTATTTTTGTAATTTCAAAACAATACCTTTAACGGGACCTGCCACTATTTACTATTAGCAAAGTTACTGCACACCAGAATCTAAAGGAAATTTGTTTTAGTATCAATTTCATATATATGTATGTGTATGTATATTAGAATCAACACTACCTTTGCCTTTAGGATGTCCTCGGCCCAATCCTCGGCAGCCATATTCCTAATAGCCGTGGTCAGGACCTTCTGGAGGTTTTCGGATTGCTTCTTGAAAATATAGATTATTTCGTGGGTGGTTGCGTTTGGCTGCTTGGCGCACCAGCACTCCATGTTGGTGACCAGACCCAGCGAGGCGTACGGAATGCCGGCCTCCTTGGCCAAAATGGCCTCGGGACACAGGGTCATGCTCAGCAGATCGGCGCCCCACTTGCGGAACATGTTGTTCTCGGCCACGGTGGAGTAACGCGGTCCTTCGAGGGTGAGGACGGTGCCGCTGGATTGCGTGGGCAATTGCAGTTCCTCGGCGGCATTCAGGAGGTGCTGCCTGGTGCGTTCGCAAAAGGTGGGATTCATGGGCACGTGACAGACGCCCAAGGGACTACCCACAGCGCCGTCGTAGAAGGTCTGAGCCCGCCGCGACGTATAATCTATCACATCGTTGGGCACCACCAAGTGTCCCGGCTGGAAGGTGTCCCTCAGGGAACTGAACGTGTTGGTCACCAGAATGTGGGTGCAGCCCATCTTGCGCATGGCCCACACATTCGCCCTGTAGTTAATGTTGCTTGGCATGATGTTGTGGTTTCGGCCATTTCGCGACAGCAGACACACATTTACGCCTTCTATCTGGCCATCGATGAGCACATCGGATGGTTTTCCAAACGGCGTGCATACAGCATACTCCATGCGCTCCGCCAAATAGATGGGCTTGTCCAGATTGGCCTCACCAATTATGCCAATTTTAATTGGGATGGTGTCCTTGCCTAGATCGCTCTGCACTTCTAAATCCTCCTCCATTGGAAATACATATAAATTTGGATAATTTTCGTAAAATCTTTTTGCCAAAAAGTAAAACAAAAACAAAATGTTATTCAAGTTGCGGCGCCTCCTTAAATCTGTAAAAATGCAATTCAAGACCCTGATAACGCAAGTTTCTTTGGAAGTTTCAAGAAGTATGAGGATGTAGCGTATGTTTTTAAATAATGCAATATTTGTTCAAAGAGGGTTCTGATACCTAGTCTTTCACGATATTTTTAGATTCATATAAAAGACATGGACATAGTATTCCCAATAACACACGACGCGACGAGCACCAAGTAAATCCTTGGAATTCCAGGAAGCCAGCAGCACAGGTACTTAACAATAAAACTAAATATTAAGATACATTAAAATGATGTTTAATTACCGCAAAACTCTTCAGTCGATTCGAAATGAAAACGATCAGCCGTCTACAAAACTGGACAACAGAACAAGCGATGAAGCACAAAATCAAGAAGTTGTCGCCGCTCCCAAGAAGACAACCTGGGCCTCAATTGCCTCCCAGCCAGCCAAACTAACATCCAGAGTGAGTATCTGACTCCCTTAACCACCCAGTAAACCGACTTATATCCTGGTTACGTTCACAGGCAGCGTCCACCACTTCCAACAGCAAGAAGAAGGGTCCTGGCATGCCACCACCACCAATGGTACCGGGAAAGCACAATTTAGATGTTAACGTATGGGATTTGCCGAACAATAAACCTCCTCCTGTACCATCTCCACCATCGCCGATCGACTTGGGCTATTCCGACTTGAGCTCTGACTTTTCCATATCGAGCAACACAGCACCGGCACTGGGCGCACGAGCGGAGAAAGTGCACAAGGACACGGAGAACTTCCTGAAATACGAGCACAAGGGCTTGGGAAATAACAATAATTTCAGCAGAGCCAAGGTTTCGCCCACGGGTCCAGTTCGCAGGAATCTGGGACCCCAGCAGCCTGTCCACCATGCCGCCCCACGTCCAGCGACCAATGCCGGCCCATTTGGGCCACCGAACGCCAGACGGCACGACGGCGGTCCGCATCCAAACCGGAACTCAGAGCGCTCGGGCAACTATTCCAGTTTCCGCAGCAGCGAGTTTGAGAGTGCTTCTAAGTTCGAGTACCGGGACGAGAACCAATCACGACCGGTGGAAGCCACATCTGCAACCGAAGAGGTGCCTGTCGATCAACAACTTCTGTTGGACGAATTAAAAGACAAAAACAATTATAACCCGAAAGCGTTGGACTTGAAAAAAGCCGGGTCAGCCAGGTAAATTGAACTATATAAATGTTTATAATTGTGATATTCAACTAATGATGAGTTCTTTCTCTCTCAGATTCTTTGTCATCAAGTCGTACTCCGAAGATGACATCCACCGCAGTATAAAGTATGAGATTTGGTGCTCAACCGATCACGGCAATAAGAGATTGGACGATGCCTTCAAGGAGCGACACGAAGAGGGCGGCAACATCATGCTGTTCTTCTCGGTGAATGGTTCTGGCCATTTCTGCGGCATGGCACAAATGATGACGGCGGTCGACTACAATTCAACGTCGAGCGTTTGGTCGCAGGACAAGTGGAGGGGCAAGTTCAAAGTGAAATGGATATATGTTAAAGATGTGCCTAACGGAAAACTGCGCCACATTCGACTGGAGAACAATGACAATAAGTCGGTGACGAACTCAAGGGACACCCAGGAAGTACCTCACGACAAAGGCATCGAGGTGCTCCAGATATTGCACTCGTACAACCATTCAACGTCCATATTCGATGACTTCTTCCATTACGAAAAGAAACAGGAGGAAGAGGTCTCCTCGAAGCGTCCGCCAATGCATGCTCCCGATGGAAACAACCAAGTGCCGGCCCCGCTTGCCCGCAGCTTCAACCGCCAGTCGGACGACAAGGATAGGGATCGCGATGGGCGCGGTGGCATGTCACAAAAGCACTTTAACTCTGGAGGAGGAGCCGGTTTCCGGAATCCAGGTCACAGGGGCGGCCCCGCACGTGGCGGATCACACAACAATTACAGCGAGTATCGTCGAGGCTTCGACATTCAGAAATCAAGCAGCGACTATCAGTTCAAGGACCGTGATGGCCCGGACTTTGACAGAGAAAATGACTTTGGCTCCCACTACGGGTCCAATAATCGAAAAAATGAATATCAACAGAATAATACGAACAAGGCCAGGTTAAAAACCCGTGATCGTGATTTTAGTACTGAACAAATTAATATCGGCGTGCGCTTTAAGGTGGGTTCGTTCGCTTCTGAAAATCTGCAAATTAATTAACAAGTTGAATCAATTTTGATTGCAGGACACGGACAAGGATAAAATGCGAAGCAATGAATATTCATAAATTTACTGATGCTGCGGTAGTATTCTTTTTTAAATGATATTGAATGGACTCCCACAATCCGTTGAATTGCTTAGAGACGTTTAATTATAATTTTTAGATTTTTTAACCATTGCGTGTACAAGATAAAATCCCGATTCATGGAGAACATATAAAAACCAACATGTGGGAACTAGGATTAACGATTAAAATATGATAACATTTTTACGTAATTATTTATTACAATATTTATATAAATCTATTGACGCTCACATTGAACAGTTCATAAAAAATTAATGATCGATTTTGCCGATATATACAACATTTATAAACACCAAGGAGTCTGCTTCAGCCATTCCTTGTAGTTGCACTGTAACAATTTATACAACTTATTTGAATCTAAAGTGTACACGACTTATGTATGTATAATGTAATTAAAGTAACCAATCCATCAATTACTCATTGACTAATCTACCAACATCTCTCGATATAAATGCGCTATTTGTAAGAGATTGATCAAAAATTTCCTTTCCAACAAGCTTAAAATAGTATTTTCTAAATAATACTTACACGTAAAGCAATATGGGCCGTATATTATTACTTTCACAGCGCTATCCAATAATTATACGTTAGTGGAAGACTGAAACAGTATAATAAATGAAGTCATGTACGTAACAAAATTAAACCCAACAAAACATTCAAACATAAAGCGAACTCATACTCAAACTGCAACGACTTTTCTGATTAAAAACTAGTATTTTTGTTTGAAATTTAAAAAGTAGAAGGCTACACAAAAGGAAGGTTTTAATGGAGTATAATGGATATTGGTTTTGTAATCTGTGACGAATCAATATGGTAAGTAAAGTTCAAAACTCAAAATGAAAATTAGGGAATTCTTCATGTTCAAATATACCAGATTGCCATTTTTAACCTGACTAATAGCTAATTTTGTTGCAATAGTATAAGTGCAGGTTAATTCTCTCGATATATATTCTAAAATCAAGCATTCCGGTCACTAAAAATCAATTTTATAACTAATGCTCAAAAACATTTGGGATTCAAATCTGGCGCCAAAAGAATGCGATTGCTAGCGGTAAATAAAATTGCGTGCGGTCCGGTCACACTGTTGCGCCCCAAGCAACTGGTCATACTGCTGATCTAGAGATTTTTCGAGGCGTAATTTACACTCTACACATTTGATAAACTACTAACAAAGGGATAAATGCGACAGCAAAAGCATCGTTTGAAATATGAGTCGAAAGGGAACGCGAGAACAAAATGATATATCGCTGATAATTGGGACGCTGCCGAAACGTCTGCAGAATAAAATCGCGGCCAGCTGCAGCCACGCAGCAGCAGCAGCAACAACAATACCAACAACAAAAACGTTCGAGACGGAGACGGAAAACGCTGAGAATGCGGAGCCCGTGGCTACAGCGAATGCTTCAAGGCCAGGTGAGTGTTTGCATGACGCATCACTATAGATACGTCCATGACATCTCTCGATTTCACCACAGTCGCCATCCTGAGCAATGCGACCGTGGGAAAGGGTAAACCCCCCGATGCCCAGGTGAACCAACCCGTTTTGGATACCAGCGGGAAAGTGGCGCGAGAAGGCGGAATTCCAGGCATCCTGCGCGTGGCCACCTCGGTGGCGGGAGAGGGTAATAGGAACGGACAGGGGGGTCAGGGCAAGTGCGGACACAGTGCTCGGCGCAGGGGTCGCAACTCGCATTTTGTCAAGGACAAGGACCACGCTCCGCAGTCGCCAGTGACGCGCACTCGTTTGACCACCGAGCATCCGGATTGGTTTGAGCCGCTGTTGAGTCTGAGCCATGCCAAGAATATAGTGCATCTGTATGATCAGCTCATGGTTCTCAATCAGAGGAATCTCATACTGATAGTAAGCATATAAAGCTGGGCTCCAAAAAAAACATCATTAAACAAACATAAAATCTCCCCCAGAACTGGAAGAACTTCTGCTACATTCACGATCAGCTGCAGGACGCTTTCAAGCAACTTCTTCTAGAGCAAGTGAAATTCGTGTGCGAGCACAAGGTTGATGTCTTCTTTTGGAAACTGCTCTTCTACAATGTGCGGGACTACCTGAAGCGTCAGCAAACGGCCAAGGCGCACACCAATACTCTCCTTTTGATTGAACAGGCCACCAAGTTCTACCGCATGCTTTACGACAAGCTAATGGCCAAGTGCGTCGCATCGTCGCGCTGCGAGAGCGCTCTTAAAGTGGTGGCCCAGAGGCTGCTCATCTGTCTAGGCGATCTGTCGCGCTACCGGGTTAACCATGTCAAGGCAACGGATTACCTGGAGGCGGCCAGGTACTATCAGCGGGCGCAGGAGCTGGTACCTGGCAATGGGGCACCTTTCAACCAACTGGCGGTCATATCCATTTATAATGTAAGAAAAAACGACCGTACTTTTGATAGTGGTTCTAATCTTCATATTTTCCCTCCAGCACAAGCGCTTCGATGCCGTTTATTACTATGTCCGCAGCTTGTTGACTTCGAACTCCATTCAGACTGCAAAGGAAAGCCTGTTGGATCTTTTCGATGAGATTCGGCGCAAGTACGAGGAGACAGAAATGAAGCAATCTCCCATGCACTATGCAGCTGCACCAAAGAATCAAAAGTCTAAGCAGATGCGCAAGGAGGTATGGATCTATCCGGATGGGATCAGACGCCTACATCG